TTGGCTACAGTCAACTCGGCCACAAGTCAACTCGGCCACAAGTCATCTCGGCCACAAATCAACTCGGCCACAAGTCAACTCGGCCACAAGTCATTTACTGGTACTAAATTGTACTAATTATTATTATTGCTGTTATTATTGTTGTCATTGTTGTTATTATTATTGTTGTTTTTATTACCGTTAGTTTTAATATTAATTATTAGTCTTAGCATTAACATTATATATTGTTCAAATTGACTTGTGGCCGAAAATTTTTGTGGCCGAGTTGATTTGTGGCCGAGTTGACTTGTGGCCGAGTTGACTTGTGGCCGAGTTGACTTGTGGCCGAGTTGACTGTGGCCGAGTTGACTTGTGGCCGAGTTGACCTGCACCCGTTGCCAGATAGTCGACAGGCTTCACGGCCAAACATACGCCGTCTAACGGCCAAATTCGGCCAAACTTTTTTTTTGATATCGACCAGATCCGACAACAGTGGGTCATATTCATTTGAAATACTACAAAAATTACACGAAAATCAGCGGTCATATGTTTAAACTTGAAGAAATTAAAATGATATACACAAAAAAATGTTAATCTTTCACTGTTTTTCTCCTTTTAATTAATTTATCACCATAAAATACATGTAGGCCTCTGCTATTTAAAATCACATTATTAAGATTGATCTAAATTTGATTTAAATGTATCAAATATTAAGGTACATAGTAGTCGATCTATAGCAAAAATTGTAAGGACCTGTTATCGAATCTTCATATTGGCAAAGACCCTGCAAATCCTTGGCTCTCTTTAATTAGAATGAATTAATTAGTTAGGTAACACAAACTGGCGTTACAACAAACCTAAGAAACCTTTAATAAATACTATTTATCTAAACTTTCTAAATTCGCCTCTGAATGTTATTGTCTCAGTACTTAAAGCAATAAATAAATATTGCTATCAGAATTACAAATAATCCAAATTTACATAATATTTACTTGTCATGAAATGCTTAGCGTAATTGTATGATAAAAGTCAAATAAACGATAATGGTAATGGTAATGGTGGGATATTTGTAGTGCACCTTCCACAATAAAATCGTCTCAAGGCGCCGAAGAAAAGGTAGGACCATAAATTATAAAAAATAAAATTATATTATATCTTAAATTGATTAACCTATATTAATCAGAATATTTTTTAAAATTTTATATTTGTTATAAGTTAAATAAATAAAAAATAAATAAAAAATAAATTAATTAATTAATAAGTAAGCAAATATAAAATTAAATAAAAAATAAATAAATAAATAAAAATAAGTAAAAAAAAAAGAAGCCTTCAAAAACAGGCAGACCAGGGGAGGAAAAAAAACAAGCTGCAGCACGAAAAAGCGCACTCCTGTTGTTGAGACGGCGAGACCACCACTATCGCGTACACGCAGGTACTCCGGCGACAGTATGCTGGGCTCCGGTAGCTTCCACCTTGGATAAGCCTCGGCTCTACTACCGTGCACCACTAAGGTGGTGGCAACGCTGATTATGTGATAATATTAAATGATAACGAGTTAATGTGAAGAAGTATGTGTATTGCTAGTAAACACAACAAGATGAATTCAAGTCTTATAAGCGTAATGAAGCAATTTATTTTTAGCAAATAAATAATCTTAAGTGATTTGATAACTGATACGGTAATTAATAAAAATTCTGATATACGATTGCTTAGTTAAAACCAAGAAAATGTTAAAATCTAACCAACATTCGGTTCTGTTTTCCTAATCACCATACACATATCTAATACAAATATATACAATTCTACAATTTTTTATATAATATAATAAAATATAATATAATCTAATATCCAGTACTATAATATAATCTAATATAG